CAGACACCAACTTTGGTTTTTTAAATGGAAACACACATTTTTTATATTTTTTTCGGATTCTACATCAAAAATAAAGGATACTTTGTGTAGAATAGTTCTATTCAAATATTCAGTTTTTGAGATATCTCGCTTGAAAGGTCTTTCTAGTCGATATTGGTTGCTTACATTTTCTGATACTGACAGGTTATACTAATAGCTACTAAGCCCATTTTTTTATCAGATGTTTAGTAAGGATGACTCTTCCGAATCATGCTCCAAAAACTGGACTGCGTTATACAGGGTGACCAAAATATCATACTAAATTGCCAATTGAAAAATTGAAAAATCTCGATTTTTTTTAAAGGCAACGCCCTGTATATCTTCATACCATGAGATGCAGAATTAAGTTCTCTACAACTTTGCTATACCTGCTCCTATACCAAAATTCATTAGTTTTTCATGAAATCTCATTTCTATGAAAAAATGCGAAGTTTACAAATAGCTTATATGTAAAATAATGTAGTAAGCTCCTGTCAAATGATAATCTGGATAATTTTCTGATGACATGATATTTTGGTCACCCTGTATAACGCAGGCCAGTTTTTGGAGCATGGTTCGGAAGAGTCATCCTTACTAAACATCTGATAAAAAAATGGGCTTAGTAGCTATTAGTATAACCTGTCAGTATCAGAAAGTGTAAGCAACCAATATCGACTAGAAAAACCGAGAGAAAAACCTTTCAAGCGAGATATCTCAAAAACTGTGAATATTTGAATAGAACTATTCTACACAAAATACCCTTTATTTTTGATGTAGAATCCGAAAAAAATATAAAAAAATGTGTGTTTCCATTTAAAAAACCAAAGTTGGTTTCTGTCCAGGAAAAGTGGAACACCCAGTATAGTTGAATATATTTTTAATTTGTACATTCTGAGAAATGTGGCAACACTGTAAAAAGAAAAATCCATATATTCCCCATTTTAACATAGATATTGGACTTTCCCGCACTAGTGTTACACGCTGTATTTACAAATAATATAAATTCTAAGAAAATTATAGATTACAGCAAATATTTCACATAGTTTGACGAAAGTATATACATTTGAATATAATAAAATAACATTATAATTACGGCAAATAATTCCATTTAAAACTATCTGCTCATTTGTTCTAAATACTTTTTTTTCAGTGTAAACAAAAGAAAAATTATAAAATTCCATGAAAATGGTTTTTTGGACATCCAAACACAAAAATGACAAATTTTACCCATATAAGGCTAAAACTATAACAAATACCTGTGTAATATATATAGAACGAAAAAAAAAATGGTCCTACATAATTATATACCACAGGGTTAAGGGACAATGTTCATGAGCGGTTAACTTCATATACTTCATATAGAAATCAATAATTAAGTCCGATAAATTAAGTTTAGAATACAGGGTACCTCAAGGTTCGGATCTTGGACCTATCTTGTTCATTGCTTTCAAAAATGACTTTTTTTTCTACTATCAACTTTCGTATTTTTACCCTAGATTTCTGGTACTGAAGAGCACTGTTTCGCATTTGACAAGATTTTTAGAAAAACTTAACACCTTTACAACTCAGTAAAAATAACATACTTCGTTTTAGGCGACAACGAGCAAAATGGTATGTTTTACACAATCCCGAATGAAATAGTTCATAATTTACAACAAATAACTCATGTGTAAACCTTCCCACTCGTGAGGAAACCGTTACCTGTCGCATAAACAATCATTTCACTGCTAGAACACGAGCAAATTTGAAAAAGCCTCGTGTCTGCACAAATTAAAACATTTAACGCAACCGCACGTTCCTATCGGCTCAAAGTCAAGTGTGGGTGGCTTCGAATAAACGACAAAAACGATCGCTGACGCTGTCTCCACCCGCTAAAACACAAACCTTCAAGTGGGTAGAAGCGGTGACGAAATCCCTACTTGCTATTCGCGTCTGCCAATCAACTTGCTATTTAAATAAGTTGACCGAGCACCAGCACTGTCGATATAAATATGTTTAACAATAACTCCGATTGTTTTATGGACGAATCATTGAAGGCGAGAGAGAAATGGCCTCCAAACAAATGATGATCGGCTCATAATAGCTGAAGAATTTGTTTACAATGGTAAGACCTTACTCGAATGTACTTCCGCAAGTTTTACGTCACTCGCCTCCTGTTATTTCTTTCAAGTGTAACGTAATGTTGACTTAACATTAATTCATAACTTCCGTTTCAAGGTTCGTAGTCTGTTTTCTTTCAAAAAATTGTAAATACACATTGGTTAGTATCGTTATATGGCGACGAAATGTATAAATATTAACCTGAAAACAATTGTAACAAATCTGAATAAACCGTTTTTTTTCTGGGGAATTTTCTTCTGAAAATTATGCTCGGGTGTTTTTGGGGTCGCTGATTACGAATCTAGATCAAAAATGCAAATTGACAATTCACAACTGCCAAAAGTGTGATATTGACGAAGTGACTTGAGACCGTAGAAAATAATGTTTCTCGATTTTCATTTCTCGATAATGTCTATTGCAGGAACCTATTTCTAGCATTTTGAAGCGAATTTAAAAAAAAAAAGTTGCTCTACGATCTTCTAGAGCCGAGATATTTAGACGATGATTTTTTTGACTCATTGATGAAATGAATTATGTGGAAAATGAAGTTGATTGCGTGGAAAATATAGGAAACTAAACCATGGAAGTTCTGAATCACAATCGAGTGAATTGCAGAAAAGAAGAATTGAAACATAAGAGTGATATACATAAGCTGTGAAAATTAAAAATGTAGTAGACGAATACCTACTTTTTTACCACGTAATTTTCTGTACGATAATTAAATAAATATTTTGTAATACTTTTATAATAAAAATATATAATTACCATAAAATGTTGTACTTAGTTTATTTCTTAAACAATTATTAAATAATCATTGAAAGAGTGAGAGAATTTTAGACTGTAGGAAAATTACATTACAAGACAATTGTGCTTTTGAGGCCGTTGTAAATATCATATGTTGGTTTATCTCGTCGAGCTACCTCAGATTAAGTACAAAAGGATTTTTGTACGTGGTCCAGAAGTCGAGCTAATGAAGATTTTGAATGTAAGATCGCTTTTGAACAAACAAGCCATGTTATCATTTTGACATCAACATGGCAGCTGTCAACTGCTAAAAGGCATTTCTGACGTCAAAATCGAGATCAGCAACTTCAAAAACCCATTGGGATAGTTTCCTTTTTATTTTGACAGTCTCGACATGACAGACGTCGGCTGTCAAGAGTGATTTTCAACGCCAAATTCGAAATTCCCACTCCCAAAAACCTTTGGAAACGACATACTCGAAAAAAAACAGTTCATTTTATCATTATTGTCAACGATCAAGACATTTCTGATATCAGGTTCGGAAACGGCGATGTCAAAAACCCCTTTGCCAGCAACATATCGAAGATCTCGAGTCGCTTCGTCAATATGACCATTTTGGGAGCTGTCAAATTGTATTTTTGACAGCAGATTTGTAATCAGCGACCCCGAAATGTCACAGAGTTCTTGTGAAGAATGTGTGCTTCTAGGGTTAAATCTAGTAATCTAGTAACTTAACTAGCCGCTACTATTGGCCATTGTTGACACTGCCACCTTAGGAATATTGAGAGAATTGCCAATGTGTACAAAAGTTCCTAATTGTCAAGCCTACAGAATAACTTTAATGTTATTTTGGGAATTAATACATTACATATTTATAGTAAAATGTAAAAGGACCTGCCATAATAGCATGTCGTTTACGATCCATGTGTTAATAATTACCAAAAATATTGATAAAATACATTTGTTAAAGATAAAACAGTAACATATGTTCTATATAAGGAAGTCTATTGAAAGAATTTAACAGACAGATTTAACATACGAAAATGATAATGAGGAAGCTGTTTATAGGTCCCAGTTGGTTATAATTATAACGCAGTATTATAAATAAATAAAATATTATATTTATGTATACAATTTCGTAAGTCACATCCGCAAATGTTATCTGAAAGCAGCCTAAAATTGTAGTGGCTTTTATCTATTTAGTGGCATCTGTCTGCTTGGTTAAATAAATATAATACCAGGTAATTAAAAATAAAAACAATTATTTCACCGAAACAACTTTAAATAGAGTAACTTATATTAAGTGCATTACCTATTTTTTTTTTACTTAAATACTAACAAACACGGACTGACCTGCTGCTGTGATCCTGAAAGTTACCACCGTCCAACAGCCTCAGCTTGGCGAAGAGCACGGCCGACACGAAGGGGACCTCCAGCAATTCCTCCAGACATATCTCCACTTGAAACTTGTACTTCTTCTTTTTCGTCATGAACGACGCCATTCCGGCGCCCCGTCCGTTGGTCATGCAGGAGATTAGCCCTTAAGGCATCGTCCGCACCACCGGAAAAATACTGTGGCGTGCTCGCGAACGGACGGGCTGCTGAAGGAGTCGGTTCGCGGTCGAAGGTCGATGTCGCGGCGATGGGGTCGTCGTCGAGGTGTCTTAGACTAGATCCATGGCAACCTGGAATCAAGGAAAATCGTCACAAACAAATTTTATTAACCCTTTAAGTGGCAGAAGACTGGGACCCTTTTTAACAAATATTTTAAACGTGATTTTAATTTGTCTAATATATTTTAGTATAAAACCATATTTTCCTTATTTTTTTTATTACTGGTATATTTTTTTTCAGGTGGGAAATTATATTCCCAAAGACGTTTTAGTAAACAGACTATACCCATTAATTTTCTGGGTGATGTATTTCCCACCTACAATAAAATAAAGGATATCTTACCATTACACTATTTATAGCCTAACAGTAATTATACAAACATATAATTAAGATTTATGAAACGGAATAAAACTGTTTTTACCTAAACTACTTACGTTATAAGTTAGACAATGTTACAAAAATGTATATTGCTGCCCGTATTTGACTTTGTCGAAAGAAAATTTAGAGGCTATAGCTTTCTCCTGCCATATAAATATAGCAAAAATTGTAGAAAAGTTTGAAATTAAAAAAAAAACAAATTTACCACACCGCCTAACCCCCTTCATTAGTGGTGTAGAGATGGTGAGTGGACTTCATAATAAACTAAAATCTCTGCTTATACAGAATTTCAAATTTCAAGTCATTACCTCTAATATTTATATTTCTTTTTATTTTCAATTCTAGAGGAATTGAAAATTTGTTAGAACTTTATATAAGAAAATAATCCTAAAATCATTATTTTGAGTAATTTCAGCCCGGCTATTAGTTTATGGCCCATTTTTGCAGTTTCTATGGAAAGTACAGATATTATTGTAGCCAAATACCGAATTTTAACTTTGTTCCTCAATATTTTCATAATAAAAAATATAAATAAAGTAGAAGTGGAAACATAAGCTTAGAATTTTAACTACATTATAATCAAAACTGCAGTCAAATTTTAAATTCTTACACACTACACTAGAAATAATGGGTATAGTGGTGATTGTACTTATCCGTTTTTCCACAAATTTTCAATAATTCCCTTTGTTTTGTATAAAAACGTAAACACAAACAACCATATCACGTATTGCATTCGAGGGTTATATTTTAATAGGTGGGAAACTATTATCCCAAAAAAACATAAAGGGTTGCTATAAGCAACGTGATCAATTCTATAATGCTGATCTCATGTCTGCCTTTTTGTACATTTGAAGCAAGAAATTTTTTTTGGGTGTATGTAAATTGAATTATGTTGATGTAGCTTACAATATATTTGTTACATTTATCCAGTAGATCTCCGTTTGCCTAGGTTCTAGAGGTCAAGTCTGCCGAAACCGTTCAGATGTCAGGAGTTCTACAGGGCTCCGTCCTTGGACCTTTAATGTTTACAGTTTTTATGAATGATATTTCTCTAATTTGAATATGTTACTTTTTATATCCTGAAGACATGAAATTATAAACTTGATAGATATAGCCTCCGATCCGACGGCAATATTTTTTTTAATTTACCATAGGGCATTATAGATATTTATATTTAATTTCATATTCTATTCATTATATTTGTTCTTGTTATGCTCCAAACGTCTATTTTCATGTCAATTTACTCTATAGGTTAAAGGTCACAGATATTTACATTTTCATGGAGGCATTTGGAACTTTTTGATGAAAAACAAGGGACAAATTTTACCTCTGCGTCAGTCTTGGAGTTAGGTCGGATAATTATATTAAAAGTATAACGGGAATTTGTAATTTTAATTAAAATAAGAGCCGATTACCAAGTTTCCCTCGAAAACAAAACAAGGAATATTTTCAGGAAGAGGGATTAGCTGATTAAGTCATTAATTGAATTCGCCTATTCAAGTTGGTACACAGGGTTTCCGTGATGGAAAAATTTCCGGCGAAATTGAAGGTGAAGTTTGCGACAGGATTATGGAACGAGGAATAATTTTTAAGTCGTTGGTTTCGGGAGCAAGAAGGCTTTGTAAAAGTAATTTTTCATAAGCATTTCAATTTTTTGACCCCGCATATTCGTTATTACGTTCTTCGCGTCTCCCTGCGTGTTTTTTTATTTATCTGAGTAGGTGTATGAAGCGAAATTTTTCATATTTCCATTTTTATAAGTTCGTACAATGTACGAGCAATTTGAATACAAATTGTTAATCAATACTATGTTGATACACAACATTGTATAGAGAATTGCGTTCTAAATTTGACATTGCTCGAGGTAATCTATTTTTGCAAATCCCCTGGGGATGTGTATAATCGACGTAAAATTGAAAAAACAGTATGGCAACAAAAATATGTATCGTTAAAATAAAACTGATGTTTTTGGACAGTGCAATGAAGTTGAATTTCTACAAGACATATTTAATAATAATTCGATGACATAATTGTGGTTACAATTCCAGATTCTGAATGGTATATGTCACGTACGTTTACAATTACTTCGCATCTGGGTTCTGTTTCTCACCTAGAAATTCTCAAGAAATATATCAAGATTATCTTGGAAATCTCACGCTTTTTTATCCGCTATCAAGCAGCTAGATGTTACAACCAATCAGTCGGCAAGAATACCCTTTCTATGTTTCCTAATAAGATCGCACAGTTTTTGAATCTAGAACATCTTGATACATATACAGGCCATTCATTCCGAAGAACATCGGCAACGTTACTGGCTAATACAGGAGTAGATGTATTAGCAATCAAGAGACATGGTGGCTGGAAATCAGCCACAATTGCAGAAAATTATGTTGCTGACAGTTTAAGTAACAGAAATGATATAGCCAACAGGATTCTTTACAATGACATTTCAACTCCAGGTTCTAGTAGTACATCGCATCATGCTGTTTTAATGGATCGGTCAGATAATATTGAGCCTCCGGTGAACGAAATGGAACGGTCAAATCATTTTGAGAAAAATGTGACAATTAGTAAACGCGAGGGGAATAATTATCCAGATTTTATAAATGTTAGTAAATGTAGTTAGTATATTTTTAATTGCTACGTATTTTACTAATAAGATATGTAAAACTTTACAGCTACTGTAATTTCTATTTTAAGGAGTTGACGTAAATTTTTGCATCTCTATTGCACATGACTATACGATGGAAGTGAAAATATAATACTATGTGCCAAATTTTTACGGTTTTATTAAAATTTGTAAGTGTAAGTAAGGTTTACAAAAATATTGCTGAATACCTGTTCCCGATTTTTGGCAAACACTATGACTCAACTCAAACTAAAAATTTACTACATTTTATTTTATTACGTACAACTTTGTATGCTTCCTCGTTACTTGAAAATACGAGGTCTGTTCAGAAAATAACCGAACTTAATTTTTTTGACTCTTATTATTAATTTTATGGTCCTTGTTTATTTCAAAGTACTGCCCTCCCCTATTTACTTTTCCCAGCGTGTTTCCATTTTCCATTTCGCAGTCCCGGATGGCTTCGTTAGAAATAGACTTTGAAGTCTGTGGCGAATTTGTTTTGATGTCATGAATAGTCCGAAAATAGCGCATTTCAGCGAGTTTTTTGAAATTTTTTTTAGGAGAATAAAAAGGGTAGTTTTGAAAAAAACTGTTTTTTAAGTGATTACAGACGGCACAAAAATTAATTAGAAATTTGTCTAAAAAAAAAAACGGTCTGAATCGGGGTCGATATCTGGTTTGGGTCATCATCTTTAATTTTAATTTAATTAAGTTGATTTAATTTAATAAAGCCGCATCGTGCTGGAAACAATTGGATTTTGTTTTCTTCAGTGTCCGGAAGCTTTTCCAAAAAAGGTAAAATAATTCAAAAATTTCAAAAATTTTGTAGAAAATTTTTCAAAATATTTTTTTTCATCAATTTAAACGTTATTTGCGGTAAAAATGTGAGAAAATCTCAAAAAAACTAGTTTTGTTCTATTTTAATCATGATTATGGTCTGTCAAAAATCACGGAAAAATTTCGGAAATTCTTTTGATCCTTTAATTTTTTGCATTAGTTTATATAAAAGTGGGTCCATATTTTACTTACTCTATATTCACAATATACCGAGAATTTATTTTATTAAAAGGAATTAAAATTTCACAAAACTGAAAAACTTCACGATATTCACATAACCTTTGCCAACTAGAGCCGCAGTACAAACTAGAAACATTCAAGTAATTAAAACGTTTGTTTGTTATTGGAAGTTTAATTCGATACCCCAACATTTCCGAAAAAAAATCGTATATCAAAAGATCGTTCACGGTTCAGATCTAAAAATAAAATTATCTAAATAATGCAATAAATAAATAACTCCCGACAATATATATCCTTTTATTAGTCAAACGAAATATTTTATCGTCTCGACGTATCTAAATAAATTGAAAATATCTATTAATCGTAATAATCAATAAATAATTAAGTAGAAATATATAAACTCGCTAAATAACACCAAAATCAGTCAAGATATAGGAATACATATATGTATATAAATTTTAAGTAACGATATAGTTTACTGAAGTTTTTTTTATAAAAAAAAAAATGTCAAATTTTTTATTAATAATTAGTATTAATACTAAATAGTAATGCTACAGATTCACAATAATATTCGAAAAAGACGATAACCAAAAGATATTATATTTCAACAGTTGCAAATCCTTCCTACTGACATCATCAGCGCGTAAAAGCATATATTTACACAAACCTCGGCCAATATTTGTTTTCCGAAGCCAATTCTACTATTAACACGATAATTTCAGTACATAATTCTTATTTACTCGGCGTATTTTGATTAGATTTTACTATTTCCGCTCCAACACCCCGACATCAAATTATAATTAGATATTATTGTTATTGTAACCATTCCCATTCCGCCTTTATCTTCCCGTCCCATTTTATACTAATAGTTCCGGCCATTCGACGTGTATCGGACAGAAATATACGAGGCGTAACAAAAATGAACCAACAAACACCGGAGCCAAATAAGAGTTCACAAAAATAATACAATTTTTTTAATAAAATGCTTCGTTGGGGAAATAAAAGATGTTGAAACGTTTTTACTTTTTACGCTTTAGAAATGAAACA